TACTTAGTTAATATTACTCAAATTAATTTATTTCAAAATTACTTATAATTTTAAAAAAACCCATATTTAAGTCTGTTCTAAATACTGACATTTCTTTTTTATAAGGGTATTCATAGTTCATTTAGGGCTTGAGCACCTCATCAACTTATGACAAACTGCTATCTCTGTGACCATATACATACCTGGATCTATCTATCTATCTATACAATACCTATAAATACCTGTACATCCATATTTATGTTTCTGTGTATTTATCTCTAGATTGCTCTAGATCAAATAAGTACATTTTTATTTAAAAATTTAAATTAACTACTAGCAGACTAAAAATAGGATTTGTACCTTCAAAATCATTTGAGGGGAAAAAAGCAAAGGAAATACACTTCATATTGTAAAAGATCAAAATAAAACCCAACAACAACAACTACAAGAAACAGCAAGGCAATGCAAACATCATGAAAAATAACAGCAAACATGACATGACACTAAATATAAATGGAGCAAATTCTTCCACTCAAAGATAATAATCATTTGGGTTATAATAGTGTAAAACTGTAAATGACTTAAAGTTCCACATAAAAGAATGAGTAAATAAGTTATATCTGTAAAGGGAATATTATAGAGCTAAGTTCATATTTTCAAGTAATAGTAAATGACCTTGGAACTGATAATAGGTTAAGTAAAAAAAAAAGCAAGACACTAATTACATATAAAAGATGGTTCTAATTTTTTAAAGCCAAAAAATGTGTTAACAATCATGATCCCTGGGTGCTGGAATTTGGGGTGATTTTGTATTTTATTTCTTTGTTGTACTGTTTAATTTGTATTTATTTCCTACCATGAAGATGTATTACATTGATAACCCCCCAAACACACACAAATACGTTATTCTACAGCATGATGCTACTTATTTTCCTAATGATCACTGCTAGCACCTTATCTGTTTGCTACACTCAAGAATCTCACTAGAAGAGAAATTTCTCCTGTATGAACTTCATCTCTGCAAGTCCTCGCATCTTGCTCTATCTCTCTGAGACCCACAAAGAGACAACTCAGTCAGCCACTGTCAGGGGAAGGTTTACTCAGGCTTCCAAACTCCACTTCTCCATCCACTTATATACCTTTGTCCTCTACAAAGCTCAGTCCCAGGCTGGGTGCTGGCCTGAAGGGCTAGGGCTCTAGTGGTGTGCTGGGGCTCGCTCACAGTAGCTCACAAGAGCTAGCTGTGCACATCTCTTCCCAAGCCCACACCCTGGGACATGACTTCGCTAGTCTGAAATGGGCCGTGGTGGGAGTATTTACACCACAGTAATCAGCAAATGCTACAAATTAGGTCCTGTGTCTCCACCAAAAGCCAGTTGTTCAACACTTACCAGCACCCCGCCACCTGGTTCCTAGCAGCTGGTGGCCCGGGAGGGGGGCTTCCTCCTACACGTGGTCCATGGACCAGCAGCTTTGATGGACATCACTTAGGAGCTTGTCAGAAATGCAGACTCCTGCCCTCCCCCAGATACCTGAATCAGAATCGCTGGAGGTGGGGCCCAGCAGTTTACCAAGATCCGAAGCACCAGAGAGGAGCAGAAGGGGCTTTGAGGCCTTAGTGTCACTGTCCTACAGCATAGTCAGGGGTCCTTTGATATTCCCTTCTTTATGGTTTCAATATCACCTACAGAAAACTTAGGAGGAAAAAATCCATATTTCCACCAGCCACACAAATGTTCTCATTTCTCCATGTTTCTTTCATGATTTGAGTATGTGCTTCTATACAACTCAGTGGCTGGCACATTTAATTTCTACATGTTAGTTCCTACATAGCATATTTGTGTCCTGACTTCTTCCTGAACGACTTGGACTTTGACGTGATAGCCAAGACCTGATGACTTTTTCAAGAAGAAATTTTGTGCAGTTTCTTTGGCTGCCTTTTCCCGCCCCCTGCCTCGCACCAGCATGCTGGACAGAGGTGGTTGGTACCTGGCATGTAATCTGCAGAATTAACATTCCTTGTGCGGGGCCTGGCACGAGAGCGGGAAAGAAACAAGCCTCCCTGATCACCAGCAGAGCCTCGTGGAAAGGAGCACAAGCATCTAATCCGTTTTATTCTGGGAAGTATTTTGGCAGAGCGTGGCTCTGCAGTTTATCAACAAGCTCTTTGTTGGCTGGGGGAGTGGGAGGATCACAGCTCTGTTTAGAAGGAAGTTACACGCCCATAAACAGTTATGGAGCCTTTTGTGATGTGGTTGGTTTACCCTTTAGCTTTAGGTAAAAAGTGGATCTGTAAACTCCCTGGGTTTGGAGGAACATTAATCACTTATTAATAGGCGATACGACTGGTGGTGAAAAGCTCAAGAAAACCACAGGCTTTCCCCCTCTCAGGTACCCTGCGACTTTTCAGAACAGACCTGGCTCATTCATCCAACAAATATTTATCAGCGCCTCCTCTGACCCTGCCAAGTCACCGAGGTGGGGCTCGTGGGACAGAGAAACTCTGGAAAAGGTGCCGTCCCGACCAGGCGCTCTGGCTTGGCCTGACAGGCAGCGGGGACAGTCAGGGAGAGCAACCGAGGAACAGTAGTAGCCTTGGGGGAGCCTTGAGGGAGGAGAAGGAGTGAGTGCTCCAGGCTAACAGCAGCTTCCCAGGGGAGGAAATAAAAAAAGTGAGATCCACCAAATGACATTCTACCTGTGCAAAGTGTGCAGGCAGAGAGCAAGTGCTCACTGACAAAGACTTGTTCAGAATAGTTGTGTCTGTGTTTTGGTGGGGGGAGGGGCTGCTGGAAGACGATGAATGGTAGGAAATGAGGCAGAAATAGGGCCAGGTGTTAGTTGGCCAAGTCCTCACTGTGCCAGGATAAACGAACGGCTTGGTCATTATTCTGTAGACACTTTATGCCTGAGACGGAGCCATCTACCCAACCAATATCCATCTACCTCCCATCCATCCATCCATCCATCCATCCAACCATCCATCATCTCCCCAGTATCCATTCACTTGTCAACCCTCATCCATCCATCTGTCTGACCACCAATCAGCCTAAGTATACTCTGTATCAGGCAGAAAATTTCTTCTTTCCTTTTCCTGGATCCTGAAGGTCTCACGGTTTCCCCAGCAACTATATTTACTGTACTTCTCCGCCTTACCTGTGCCCACCTGTGGACTACTCAGGTGATGGTGTTGTTAGAAACAAGGAAGGAAATAGTCACATCACAGCAAGGCTCACCTGGCCCGATGTTTGGGAAAGAACGAATGTATCACCAGTAGGTGTGCTGAGCACAGAATGACAAGGAAATCTCATCCTGACAGTTATTCCAAAAAAGTTATGAAACTGTTAGAGCATATGGCAACACACGCCCTTCACATAATTATGATGTATTTGTGCCCTTAACATAAAAAAAAACCAAACCCTCAGAATTAGGAATTCATTATTTAAAAAAAACAAACAAACCTGTGGATTAACCTTTTTGTCTTTTTTTTTTTTTAACTAGTGGGGGTAAGGGGAAGGGGAGCAGTGTTTTAGGTCTTAGTCTTCTTAAATGGGTCAAATTTTGTAAATACTTTGGTCTAACATCTTTCATTGCTCTTTACGGTGAAAAAAACATGTATACCATTCATGTACGAGTAGAAGACATTTAGACACCCTTCTTTATCTCTCTCTCTCCCTCTCCCTCTCTCTCTTGCTCTCGCTCTTGCTCTCTCTCTCTCTCTCTCTCTCTCACTTTCTCTCTTTCTCTCGCTCTCGCTCTCTCGCTCTCTCTCTCTCTCTCTCTCACACACACACACACACACACACACACACACACTCCCCTCCCCCCCCACACAAACTATTATACAAGGTAAACAAAAATCACCCAGAGGTAACTATTGCTAACACTGTGGTATATTGTCTTGTCTCTGCATATTTTAAGACATAATTGAGATCACCCATTTTATACAGCATGTCGACACTGACTTCCCCTCCCTCCGTTTAATGTATGAAATGAGAAAATACTTTTTGAAAACACCATCTGAATGGCTGCGCAGAACACCAGAGCAAGGATGCTCCCTATTTATGAACCAATCCCCTTTAGTTGAGGGCTTAGGAAGTTTCCAATGTTTTGCTCTGATTAAAAGACGGAGAGCGTCCTTCTGTCGTCTACCTCCTGTCAGACCTCTCATTATTTCCTGTAAGTAGAATTCTGGAAATGGAACAACTGAGAAAAATATTTCTTTCAATGCCGAGACTTCAATCCCTATTGCCACACTGCCTTCCAAAACGGCACTTGGCCTTCTGGGGACTCTTTGGTATGTCACAGGTGTCCCCAGTCCTCTGAATGTTAAGGGAATGTAGTATGCGTTTCTGTCTATCTAGTGAGCGTGCTGTGATGCTTCAGAGGGAAAATTTGTTAAAAAAAAAAAAAAGCAGAAATAGAATGATTTGCCTTCCTGCCTTCTGTGGTCTAAACCCAAACCAATCTTTCTATAAAAAGTCTAAAGAAATAGCTAAGATCCTTCTATCCTGAGTTTCAAATCGTGCTGCCAGGAATATAAGTTTCTGATCCGAAAGTAGTATAACGAGTTTCTGTTGAACAAGACACTTTCCTGCTCAACTGTGACAAAAGCGTAAGGCTTACTTGCTAGACGTCAGACCATTGCCACTTCTCCTCCCCGAGGGTAGGAAAATAGTGTCCCCAGCGCTTCTTAGAGGGGCCGCCTGCCAACGAGGGCGTGGTGGGAGGCTGGGGCGCCCCTGAAACGGGGTTGGGGGTTGCAGAGGGCTCCGGAGGGCGGCTTGGGATAAGCGCTCCGGCTGTGGCCTGTGATGCCCTGGGTCCGGTTCCCGGCTCTGTAACTTTGGGCCATCACTGACGCTCTCTGAGCCTCGGTTGATTGGTCTGGAATACGGGGTGTATCCCAGCGCGCACCCCAGGCGCGCTGGGACTGAATGGCATTCTGCACGGAGAGCGCCGGCGACAGGCGCAGACGCGGGGCGGGAGCCGGGGCCGCGCGCCCGGGCGCCCGCACTCACCTCCACCGTACATCTGGCACAGGTAGGGGAAGCGCCACACGTTGCCCAGGCCCACGGCGTACGAGATGCAGGCGAACACGAACTGCAGCGGGTTGGCCCACAGCGGCCGCGCTTTCTCCATGGCCCCGGAGCTCGCGCGCTCGCGTCCCGCGGGGGCGCCGGCTGCGCTGTGTGGGTGCCCCGCCGCCAGGCGCGCGCCGTCCCGCCCCGGCTCGGCCTGGGGGTGGCCCCGCGCCTCCGCCGCGGCCGCTCGCCCGCTTTTTAATTGCTAATCTCATTAACGGCGCGCCTGTCGGAGGGGCGAGGCTGGTAAATGGATGACGGCGGCGAGCCCCACCCCACCTGGCAGCCGCGGGCCGGAAGGCGCCCGAGATTGTGGGGTGCAGGGCGGCGCCAGGGTCCTTCCAGCACCACGTCGGGGCCTGGGTGTCGGCGAGCTGTGGCGCTCCTTGGAGTGGCCGGGCTCCCTCAACCCATTATTGATTGAGTGCCTACTGTGTGCCAGGCTTTGTCTGGAGACAGGGCTGTAAACACCACAAACACCCTCAACCTTCCTGGAGCTGACCTTGTGGTAGAGGGACACACTTTAGAATTGGACTGGATAAAATGCCCCATTTTCAGCTATTTTTTGACCCACGGAACGGGCAATTTCATATGGTTCATCGTAGTCCAAATGTAAGGCGCATGAAAAGCAAGTAAGGCAAAGCAAAGGGGTTGGCAGCTCCAGGGGTGGACCGGGTTGGTCAGGGAGGGCTTCCCAGAGGAGGACACATGACATATGCTCAGAGACAGGAAGGAAGCCAAGGACGCCCTTCCCCATGTGGAAGAAGAATGATTCAGGCAGCCCTGTTTCAGTCATCCACTCAGCAGACGGGCCCTGTGTGCCTACTGTGTGCAGGGCAGGGAAGTCTGGCTCTGTAATTCCCCGGGGGAGGCCAGGAATCGGGTTTTGAATAATTGCTGTGGGGGAGATTCTGATTCATTAGGCTCAGGTTGGGGTCTAAGAAACCTCATATTTCTACCAGTCTTGCAAGGTAACTTGGTTCAAGTTGGTCACTAGACAGGCTAAGCCTGGTGCTTTGGAGTAATGCAGGATGTGGCTTGAATCTCAGCCTCTTACACTGACTTAACTGTGTGACCTGTTTCCTCATCTGTAATGGGAACAAACATTTCCCCCCTCCCAAGGACTCTTGAGAATTAATTAATAGCTTACTATGTACTATGTGGCACATAGTACGTGCTCAGTAAAGATGCCATTATTTTAAGTCCCCAATAGACTGAATGAATGCATGGGTAACAAACTAAGTTAATATTTGACCAGTGCCTGGTACATAGTAAGAGCTAAGAAAATGCTTGGTAAGTAGATAAATAAATTTTAAAAGAAACAAAGTCGAGTTGCTTGTGGTGTTGCTTCAACTCTTACTTGAAGCCAAAAGGAAATCACCACTCTGGGACAGTCCCTAGTTGGGCTTTCCCCGAAGTTCCTGCTTGGCTGGTGGCAGAGGAAAAAGGGAGGTGCGGTGAGGAAGGTGGAAGCTCCTGAAACATACTGCCTGACCTTGACCTTTTTACTTTCAAAAGGCAAAGCAGAAAGAGTCCACAATCCAGCAGGAGAAACTATTTTATTTTTCTTTAAGATTTTATTGGGGAATTGGGGAAGGGGAACAGACAAGTTGCTGTCCTTTTGTTCTTCAGTCTAGTTGTGGAGGACATGGCTTCACTGGCCCATGTTGGTATTATCATTGCGCTCTTCCCAGGTGAAGCAGTCACTCACTGGCCATTGGACGGCCGCTTCCGGCAGCTCACGGTAGCTCATAAAAGCTCACACCAGCTGTGGCCAGCCCCACCGACGCCAGCTACTCACAGCAGCCCAGCTCCAGGTCGAGCTGCCATTCACCATCTTAGCTGTAGCGGGCACAGCGTCACTGGCCTTCATGTAGGATCTGAACCCGGGCCCTGCTGCTCAGAGCTGGTGTCCCAAGTCAACACTTAACCAACACGCCACTCGGCTGGCCCAGGAGAAACTATTTTGATTTTTAAACTTTAGATTCTAGAGTTTTCCCCCTACCCTTTGTCTTCTTCCTAAATTAGGAACCCACCATCCTGGTTTTCATTGCCATAGGTTAGTTTCAGCTGCTCTGAGCTTTACGTAAATGGACTTATACAGTATGTGCTCTTTCATGCCTGGCTTCATTTGTGGGGTTCATTCATGCCCTGGGGCGCAGTTGTAGGCTGTTCTTTTTCACTGCTGCATAGTATTCCGTGGCGTGACTACACTCTAGTCTGTGACCGATGGACGTTTGTGTTGTATCCAGTTTGGGGCTCTTATGAATGAAGCAGTAATGAGCATTTCAGTACCTGTTGCTGGGTGGATACATACACTCACAGCAGGGAACTCCTGGGTCATAGGGTGTGTGTATGTTCAGCTTTAGAGGATATTGCCCAACTCTTTCTAGAGAGCTTGTACCAGTTCACACTCCCACGAGTTTCGGTTGCTCTGCATCATTACTGACACTTGTCATTCTGTTTTTAAAGTTGTATCCAGTCTTGTGGGTGAACAGTGGCGGTTCACTGTGGCTTTTAATTTTAACATCCCTGATACTAATAAGGCTGCATATCTTTCCCTAGGCTAATTGGGTCATTTGGATGTCCTCTTGCATGAAGGGTCTGTTTGAGCCTTTTGCCCGTTTTTAATTGGCATGTCTTTTTCTACTGACTTACATAGTTCTTTCTATACTCAGTTTCATGTATTACACATTTCTTCTCTCAGCCTGTGAGTTGCCTTTTTAATCTGTCAGTGGTGTCTTCTGATGAACAGATGTTCTTAATTTTAACAAAGTCCAACTTACCAATATTTTCCTTTAGTGTTCTCCTTTAGTTTTTTTTTTTTTTTGGTTTTTTTTTTTTGTAATGTCCTGTTTGAGAAATTTCTCCCTTATCAACTCCAAGGTCATGAAGCTATTCCTGAGAGTTTAAATTTGTGGCAGAGCCTGTCTCGGTAGTTAGTGCTGCTTTTGTAACACTGTTGGATAAGTTGAGACGGAGGTGCCTCTAGCCATCTGCTTGGCACCTTTTCGTTTGCACAAATGAGTTTTCCCTGGAGGGTCCCTGGTCATTCTCACAAATGAGTTTTTCCTACAGGAACTGGGCACCTCAGAGAGATGCCTCGCTTAGTGGTCTGTCACCTGGAGGAGGAGGCTGCTTGCACTTTGTTGGTTTGCCATAGGTAAGGCCCCTATTCGGTTCCCTACCCCCAGGAGGCATCAGACCTCCATCTCATGGCCTGAACTTGGTGGGGGCCGTGGGCAGCACTGAGAGACGTCCCCTAAGTCTTCAGGGGCAGCTGCTCAGGGCTCGCCGTGCCTTCCTGAAACCCATCTGATAGCTCTAATCTGACAATTGTGCTGCTGTGGCTGCAAAAAGTAGAAAGAGCAGGCCTGGGAAGGGCGTGTGTGCTTCCTCAGGGACCCGGCAAAGCAGGCGGTGGAGAGTAGTGGTGGGCTGGCAAGTATTTAACAACCGGCTCTCTGCTGCAAAAGCTCAAATTTGCAGCGTTTGCCAATTTCTATACTGTAAATATTCCCCACTATGGCCAATTCCAGGCTACCAACGTGGTGTCCTTGGACATGGAGTTGGGGAGAGACGTGCAGTAGCACGTCATTATATTGAATTTCCACCATAGATATGCAATGGGCATAGGTAACCTCAAGAGCATAGATAACAGTGTAGTAAATAATTAGGAAGTGGTGGGTGCGGAGTATTTAGCACCTCTTGTTTTAGATCATTTGTTAGTTCATATAACTTAATGTTTAATAATGGCCGTGTTTAACAATCATTTCACAACTGGCGCTCACCAGCCTGTGGGGGCTCGGTTCAGCACTCCACAGGAGCTTGGGGCTGGAAAGCAACCTCTGTGTGGCAGGGGAAGGGGAGCGAGTTCAGGTCTCAGAGGTCTGGTGCCCACGGGGACAGCGTTTCCAGCTTATCCCAGCCGCTCCTGCGTGTCTCCCTGGGGCCCTCCACTGCCAGTATTGAAGAAATCTTCCTGGGCACCAGCCTGTCCCATCTCACTGTGCCACATGTCAATCAGGACACAACTCCCCAAGGATGGCAGGAGTTATCTGATTTCCGGGAGAGGGTGGAGATAGTTGCGTGAGTGTGCTGATGGCCCGGTGCCAGGATTCCAGATTCTAACCCCACTCATTAGGGCCACGGCAGCTTTCAATACAGTGCTCCCCCTAGTGGTCCCGCTGAGACTTAACCCTCATCAGCGGCTCCCAAATCCCCACAAGATAAAGTCCAAACTCCTCAGCCTAGTCGGTAAAGCCCTGAGGAATTTTTTCTTTTTTAATTGGACCCAGAGGAATTTGACCCTTGCTCATCTAGGTTCCAGGAGAATGTAGACTTTTCATCTTCCGGAAAATGCTGTGCACTTTTATATGAGGGAAAATGCAGTTCCCTCAGCCAGGAACACTTTCTTGAAACCTTCCGGACCCGGGAAAAGCCTGTCGATTCTTCCTGACCCCTTGTAAAGAAGCCCCAGCACCCTATCCCCAGCCAGAATAGATTGCTCCCCTGCCTCGGGTGCATATCTGGCTTCTAAAGCTTTGAGTGTTGCCTTTTCACAAAGAGTGCAGATAGTCCCCTCTGGTCTATGGCTGGCCGCGTGTCTTACTCATCCATTTCTCCTTAGTGCCTGGCTCATGGTTCAGTCTCAATAAAAGGTAGGTGATAAATGAAAAGCCTGCTGTGGAATCTTAGCACTTAGGTATAAATCCATCCTTATTTTCCACAGCATCGACAGCCCTGAGACTCTGCGTTTCCGAACGTTTCTTCAGACATTCAAGTTTTTATTGCCCACCTACTGTGCGCCAGGAGCCTGCTGGGCTGGGGACTCCAGGCAAACCTCTGGACGAGACTGTCCTCCCTCCGTGCTGCCCAAGGTACCTGCTCACTCTCCCTCTAGGAGCACAGAGACACACCGAGTGCAAACAGGGGAGCAGAACCCCAGGAAGGAGATTCTACAGAGGACATGCTGGGGCTGCTGTGGGGGACTGGCCCAGCTCAGGTACCGAAGAGGAGGGGCCTCCCAAGAGCCTGGAAAGCCCCTGCCTCAGGGCTGAGTGTTTGCATGTGTGTGCATGTGTATATGTTGTATGTGTGTGTTCATGTATGTGTGTGTGTGTGGGGGGGGCGGGTATTGAGGAGGCAGGAATATCTCATCACTTTCTCCTGACACCTGGG